AATAAAGAACCTTGAACCTTGAACCTTCTCTGGGTAAAAAGCTTTTTTGGTGACAGGGGAGAACGGCCAGACTGCTTCAAGCAAATAAGAAGGCAAGAGTAACTCAAACAACCACTCATTACAACCAGGGTATGCAGAAGATCATCTCTGGTTGTACAACACATCAAACCGTGAAGCACATGGGCTACAGAGGCAGAAGACCACACCAGGCACCACTCCGATCAGCTAAAATAATGAACAATAGATGATCTGAAAAAAAAAAAACAACATTGTCTGGACTGAGTCTGGATTTCTGCTGTGGCGTTCACGTTGTTGGGTCACAATTTGGTGTAAAAAACACAAAAGTGTGGGTCCCTTCCATCGTGTAGCACCAGTTTAGGCTGGTGTTGCACTGTTTAAATGCCACAGCTTGGTGTTGTTTCTGACCATCTCGATGTCTTCATGACCACACTGTACCCATCTCCTGGAGTCTACTTCCTGCAGGATAACACACCATGTCACAGAGGTCAAATAATCTCAAACTGGTTTCTTGAACATGACAATGAGTTCAGTGAAGCAGTTTGAAATGGCCTCCACAGCCAAAACATCTCAATCAAACAGAGCAACAGGAGATTCAGGATGTGCAGCCACATAAAATCTATCATGTCAATATGAATCAAACTCACTGATAAATGTTTCCAGCACCTCACTGAACTGCAACGAAGAATTGTCTGCGGGTGTATATGTGGCTCTGTCATTGTCTGAGGTTTATAGAGAAAAAACAGTTAAGTTCAAATAAAAGTTAAATAGGATTTAAAGCATCTTCAATTTCTATTCTTGAGCTCTTACCTCTTTTCATTTTCTATTAAACTGAACTTCTTCTTTAGTGTCATTTTTTTTTTAATTTTCAGAGTTTGTTCATTCTGAATAATTGCTTTCATTATATTGAAATAAGCCACTTTTCATGTTTTAGCTGCCGTAATTATGATTTCCCAACTTCTAGAAAAAATAATTTCTTTTTTATTTGTTTTGGGGTTTTTTGTTCAGATATGAGGAAGATTTCTGGAACTCTTATTGCTAGAAGACCACTTTTCAGCACCAGCCAATAAATAAATAAAATAAAATAATACACCTGCTTATTGTGTGAGGCAGCAGGCAGCTGTGGGTCCCTCATACACACCTCCGTGTTCCTGTGTCGCAGCAGGCCTTTGATCAGGTAATTGCCCCTCGGCCCCGGAGTTTGCATCCCCCATATGTCTCTATGGCGACCACCTCTTCAGCATCCATCTGCAAGCCGCCTTCACACCCCTTTTAAGATGAACTTATATGTTACGAAGCCACAAGTGAAGTAGCACCGTTTCCACTTAAGCTGCAACCTATTTGTGAAATCTCACATATGATGAATGGTGTGTGTTTATTTTTTGTCCCCTCTTTCCATGGGTTTGTCCATATATCCGGCATATGCAAAAAGCTCCCACACACACACACCTCAGTGGAATGGTGAAAAACATTTTTTCAGACTGCAATAAGGAAGCTTTTGTTTCACTCTGAACACTGATGTAACACCCATACATGCATGACACGACATGATCAGAATGCAGGTGGCGCTCATAAGGAACCATCTCAGGACTCAGGAGTCTGTGTGAAGATGCTGTGCGGAGGGTGACATGCTTCAAATGCAAGGGATTAGATCCTGTAAGGAAGTGAGGTGCTTTTTTGACAGATTTAAATGCACAGCTGCCCCTTTAAATTTAAGATCACTTTCCTCTTTAATGCCTGCAAGATCACATTTCAGTTTAATTCATTCCTGCTCTTGTAGAAAGAAATTCTCTAATTAGAGACACTCTTTCATCCATTTAAATAATCTCATTATATTTAGCATTAATTTATGGCCACATTTCCCAGAAATTCAGTTTCATCTAAATAATTTCCTCTGGGATTGATGTTAATACAGTATTCTAATTCTGATTTAAGATTTCTTTTTTTTAATTTAATAAACACCAAAATGGCATGACTCTGTAATGAGTCGGCCTCCAACAGGTCAGCAGTGGATGGAGAGGTAATTTAGTCATATTCAGACAGACGGATTTAAAAAATAAATAAATCCACATGTGGAAGCTGCACAGTCACATCCTTAACTGTTGACGCTTCTGCTGGGAAAAGTGTCTCGTTATGCACCTTGCTTGAGGGCACTGCAGTAGATATTTAATGCCATCATTTGCATGCGCATGCATGGTAGTTTATAGAAGCTGGGTGACGGGTTATCACCAGAGACAATGACAATCCTTCAGAAGTTGAAGGTTATGTTATTGTGACTAAATCCCTTTCTGTTTTGCTAATTGCCACATTATTGTATCCATTATTATTGTATCCATTATTATTGTATCAATTATTATTGCATCCATTATTAACGTATGTAATTACTTATGGTGTAGCAGATAGATAGATACATGTCATTGTCTATAATTTAATGTCCAAAAAATTGTCGTCTTAGTTTTTTAATTTGTTTTTTATTTTACTGGGGTTTTTTTTTTAAATTCAATTAACAGACCCCACAAAATGCTTCATATTCTTCTTCTTTCTTATTTTTTATACAGTAACATATTACAACAACCATCGCCTCAATGTTGTAATGTAAACCATCGGATTAAAATAACCCTAAAATTTCGACTGGCACCTGAGGAAAGCATCAAATTTCTAAAAGAAACACTATATTATTGATTTTTTTGCCTAGTTAAAATGTTATTTTTTAATTTTAAATATTCACAGCTTAGCTACTGGAAACGTGGATTCACAGTTTCAATTCAATAAATTCTTCCTGGCGCAGAATTTAAAAGTGTTAAAATAATGACTTCAGGGGGAAAAGTATTAAAAAGTTGTTTTTTTTATTGGACATCAAAGAACAGGATGAGCAACACGGAGCTTGAATCAAACGATCACAGCTTTATCTATGCATAGGCTATAGACATCTCTGGAGATATTTAACGATGGTGATGAGCGGCAATAATCATTGTGAGCCCTCAGTTGTTGTTTGAGAACAATCTGTTCGCAGGCTGTTGGTCTCTTTTTCACCTGGATGTCTCCAGATCAGCCCTCAGTGATCCGGTGAGTCTTGAACCATCACGGTCTGCAAAAGTGACACTTGATGATTTTCTTGAAAGCGCTCTGAAAATCTTTGTTGAAGTACGCGTAAATGATGGGGTTCAGTAAAGAGTTGGAGTAGCCCAGCCAGTTAATGACATCCTCTAGCCAGCGGGGCATGTAGCACGACTCCTGGCAGAAAGGCATGACCAGGGCGACGATGAAGAAAGGCAGCCAGCACAGGATGAAGGTGCCCATGATGATGCCCAAAGTCTTCACCGTTTTGCGCTCCCGTGCCAGTGCGATCTTCCTCTTCGCCTCCGTCGCTTTCTCGTGCCTGCTCTCGAAGAGCGGCACGGAGCTCGGGGTGTTGGGCAGCGGCAGGTTGCCTTTGGAGTTGCTGTGAACTTCGATGATCTCCAGAGACTCGCCATCTTCGGCGTGTCTCACCGCGCCGTTGACACTCGGCACCGGCCGGGGCTCCACGCTCCTTTTCCAGCTCTTGCCCTGTGCATCTCCTTGGATCTTTTTATGGAAGAGCGCGGGAGAGAGCGCCAGGCAGGAGTCGGACACTTTCTTTTTCTCCGTTTTACGCACCGTCCTCCTGATGCGGAAACGGGCAGCTTTGAATATCCGCCCGTATAAAACCAGCATCAGAGTTAGCGGGATGTAAAAAGCCCCGAAAGTGGAGTATATTGTGTACCAGGGGTCTTGCCTTATCTTACACTGCTTGGGGTTCGCCCTGTCCTCTGCCATGCTGCTGGGCTGGGAGCGCATGATCAGCATAGGCGGCACGGAGATGGAGAACCCCACTAGCCAAGTGACGCTGATGAGGACCGCGGCTCTCCTCGGAGTCCTCTTCTTCATATAGTCTATGGGCTCGGTTATGGCCCAGTATCTGTCCAGAGCGATGGCGCACAGGTGCAGGATGGACGACGTGCAGCATAGCACATCCAGAGAGATGAAGATGTCGCACGGAATCTGCCCGAGAGTCCACCGATTCAAAACCTGGTAGAGCGCCGCCATGGGCAGCACCAGCACCGACACCATCAGGTCCGTGACGGCAAGAGAGCCGATCAGATAGTTGGCGACATTCTGGAGAGAGCGCTCCAGCGCGATTGCTGCAACCACGCACGCGTTCCCAAATATTGCGCACAGGATGAGCGCGCCGAGCAGGAAGGATGTGACCACTTGGTAGCTGAGTTTCACCTCCTCGTCTTCTGGTTTTGGGGCTTTGTTTGAAGAGTTGTCGAGTTGAAGCCAGGCGGTCGTGTTGTTTGTGCCCTCCATCGTTGGGCCACTTCGATGCGACTGGAGAGGTTCTACTCTGCAGAGCGCATGGCACGGGAACACCAAGAGCGCATAGCGGTCAGCTGGTCTGCCGAGAAGTGCAGAGAGGCTGTAAACTGCGAGTGTTGGCTGCTGACGGAGAATGATGCTGCGGTTTTATACCGGTGATGGAAAATGCGTCATTTCTGTGTGAGGCTGTAACAGAGGCATGGTTATGTCTGTTTAGTCCACAGCGCAGGCAGTGAAGATGTAGGAGCTGTGAAAAAAACACAGTAGTTTCTTTCTACTCCGTGGTCTCCAGACTGCAAGTGGATTAAGATTTATTTATTTATTTATTTATTTATTTATTTATTTATTTATTTAATTATGTAAACTTTATTGAAAAAGTGGATTTGCTCATTTTTGAATGGCCTAAAATTAAAATAATTTTTTAATTTAAAACTATTTCAGTTATTGTTTCAACTCAATATGAGTTGATATGAAATATGTTTTTCTTCCCGTGTATTTCATTTGTGGCAGTCGTCTGCTTTTAGCACCACGATCAGCGCAGTGCAGTCAATCTGAGATGTCACACTGCCACCCGGCGTTGATTCACTGTCACAACACATAAACAATTATTACATTTTTGTTATCTTAAGCTTCAAACGCCTTCAAAGTAAAATAAAATAAAATAATTAAAAAGTTTGGCCATTGTGCCAGATTGCTGTATTATTATGACACTGTATTATTTTCATTCAGTTGTTCAATGTTAAAAACCAAAAAACGTCAAGAACAATATAAAAAGTACTGCTTTGCTGCACCTCCGAGTAAACGAGCTTTAATGAGAGCCTAAAATCTTTGAGTAATTCCATATTGTTTCCTCTATTTGATTTGGAAAAAATTATGCTATCAATTTAAATAAATATTTAAAAGTCATGAAAGTTTAGCAGGATCTGTGACAGACATAAACATTGGACAACCAAACAACTTTAACAGGGGGGCATTTTCCCTACATCACTTTTCTGTTACATTAAAGGCAAAATTAACTTTTATCTTAAGTATCTTTTATGTGTGCTGTTGCACTTACACACTTTGTCCACAAATCAGAGGTTATAAACTCAGATGCACAACCGCAAAATTACATGCAAAACTGGAGTGCAGGATGAGTTCCTGTATAATTAATAAACTCATACATTGTGTCATCTGTGTCACAGGTTATACAATGTCAAGTATAAACAAGGATAAACATCCTGCTTCAAATCATAAATGGCCTGCATTAGTATACAACCATTTGCACTCACTGGCCATTTTATTAGGAATACACATGGCAGGAACTTGATGCTTTTACCCATGCAGACATGGTCAAGGTGACCACCTGAAGGTCAAACTGAGCATCAGAATGGGCAATAAATGCAATTTAAGTAACTGTGAAATGTGGAAAGGGTGTTTCTTGATCTGGTTGGTTTTGAGTATTGTAGGTTTATGATTCTTTTGGGGTTTGAATATTGATTTATGGTAAAGCTTTCTATCATTTTTTCTTTTGAGTTTGTTATTATTGCTTCTTGCTTTTTAATTTCTTTTTTATGCTAGTTCTTTGTTTGTCGCTTGATGATGTTAGGTCTCTTTCGTGCCCATTCTGTCCAAGCCTCATCTTTGTGTTTTGTCCTTATTTTTTTCTCAGGTGAAGTCAGCTTTTTCTTCATGTTTACCTTTCTGTCCTTGTGTCAGGTTTTGTGGTTTGAGTCTGTGTCTCAGTGTTAGCTTCTCTTTAATTTTGATAATCTCTTGTGTTTTGTATTAAGTTCTTCTTCCCTTGTCTATTCTTCTGTGATTAGCATCAGCTGTGCTCCGACCTGTTTCCTCTTCCTTCATTACCTGGTGTGTAGTGTGTGAATCTGTCCTTTCTTATGTTCTCCCTCTATGTTGTATCCCTCTGTTCCCTGTATTTTTAAGTTTTCCATGTGTTTTGCACCAGCCTTGCTCCATGTATGCTTTGTTCTTAAGCTGAGTTTAAGTTACTCTCCCAAGTTAGTCTCCCAAGTCCTGTGTTTCGGTCTTTACCTGTCACATAGCATTTCATTACAGTTAGCGCCAGATGAGTATTTCAGAAACTGGTGATCTACTGGAATTTTCCTGCAAAACCATGTCTAGGGTTTATAGGGTATGGTTCAAAAGAGAAAATGCTTTGTTGATGCCAGAAATCGGAGAAGAATGGCCAGACTGCTTCAAGCTGATAAGACAGTAACTCATGTAACCACTGTATGCAGAAGAGAATTTCTGAATCCAATCAAAGCTTGAAGCCAATGGTCTACATCAGCAGAACACCAGCCAGCTAAGGACAGGAAAGTGAGGTTTCAAAACTGGAAAATGCAAGACTGGAAAAACATCACCTGCTCTGTTAAGTCTTCTGCTGAGACATTCACAGGGTAGGTCAGAATTTTGCATCAACAACATGAAAGCATGGATCCATGCTGCCTTCTATTAAAGCTCTGGGCTGGTGGTGACTTATTTTCTTAGCATACTTTGAGCACTTCTAAAGGACAAAGAGGGTAGCTTAATGTGGAAAGGAGAGAAATTTTCTCAATGTGCACAAGTGGATTAATGAAGTCACCACACACGAGAACACCTGGAGTCACAGACAAGAGCAGAAATTCACCGCACTGCAGTTTTTTTAAGTCAAAAAAAGGAAACTATTTCTCAAAATCTGACTTTTATAGTTTGTATCCTCAGTCACACTCTTTCCCTCCATTGCTGCTGCAGGACTAAGCTTGATCTTTGTGTGCGCTGCAGCGTGAGCGTTTAAGTCTGTCATTACGAAACTAAGAATCTCTATGTTTTACTCATAGACGTAAAAACACATCAGTTGATTTCATCTGAGGGGACACAATGACCTTACTGGATTCCCAAGGCCAACCCATAAAAGTAACATAACACTGTGTTTAGCTGTTAAACAAAATCTGTTTTATTTTGTGATTTACAAATGAAATTGTTAAAGAATAAATTAACATCCCGCAAGTCTGGTGACTGCTTATTCCTCAGGCTCAGAGCTAAATATAGTTTGGTATTTTCGAATTATTTGTTGTTGATATTTTAATTGATCTATTTAAAATTTAGTTCAGTTCCATTTTAGTTTTTGTTTGACAATGTTGGGTTTTTAGTTTAGTATTTGTTAGTTTCTGTCTTTCCAATTATTGCTGTGTGCAATGACGTGTCATAGTTAAGATTAGTACAGGTATTATTAGAATAACACAATTTTTGAACGTGTGTCATAGTATTATAAACATCCAGAGTCTCAGTAAACTTGTCTTTCAGTGACTCATCAGGCAACTTGTAATGTTTTTTAACCAAACTAAAAATTACTTAAAGATCTGTCCTCTATATTTTCATTTTATTTTAGTTTACAAGTTCTCTTTTTTTTTTTTCAAGTCCAGATTTTATTTGTGTTTAACGAAAAATGTACTGATCTGTACAATGTAGCTTGCGTCACCAGTGTGTGTGTGTGAATGGGTGAATGACTGAATGTAGTGTAAAGCGCTTTGGGGTCCTTAGGGACTAAGTAAAGCGGCTATACAAATTCAACTCCATTTACCATGAAGTTGAAGCGACAGCAGCGGCCTTTACGGTCCTTTTTGGCCCATTAGACGTCCCGTTGAGCACTTTTCATGACGTCACCGAGCTATTTAAAGTCAAGAGAAATATTTTGTTTTCTTAGCGTAGCCGTGTTTACCTAGCAAATACGTCTGTCTTAAAGGCAGTGTTGGGGAGTAACGGAATACATGTACCGCCGTTACGTATTTAGAGTACAAAATATGAGTAACTGTATTCCGTTACAGTTACCGTTTAAAAAGGTGGTATTCAGAATACAGTTACTTTGTTGAAATAAATGGAATATGTGCTGCCACTGCTGGGTGCAGTAGCTCCACCACCCCACTAGGGGGAGGAAGCGGGTTTGTGTACTCAAGTTTCTCTAGTAAATATAGGAAAAGTTCATGGAGTCTGGCCAAGTTGATACCAGCACACAAAATATTAGCTCTGAAGTTGGCTGTACTGGAGCATGAGAAATATATGCTTTTTTACTGTTCTGCCCTCCCTGTACGTTGATGCCCAGTTTGGCAGATAGATAAACAGTTCTTCATTAGGGAGACAAATAAACCCTGCAATGAGAACTGGAAGCCTTTGCCTCTCCTTTTGAAGAACTGTTTATCTATCTGCCAAACTGAGCATCAACGTACAGGGAGGGCA